GTGATGTGCTGGGGGCCACAGAGCACCCCTGCTTGCCCGGGTGCCCAGGAGGTGGCCAGCCACAGGGTCGAGGGCCTGGATGTGCCGAGTGGGACTGGCTTCTGGGCAGACCGGCGCCCGGGAGCAGGATCAGGGCAGGCTGTCGTGAGAGCCGGAGTGGGCCTTGATTCTGTGTGGACGAAGACGGCAGAGGCACCTGGGCCAGGCTGGGCAGGAGGAGCGGCAGGACCACCCCCGTCCCTCTGGGCGATGCGCCTCCCGGGAGGAAATGTGAACCACGAGGCGCTTGAAGGGGCAGCCGGCGTGAGGGTCGTGTTCCTCCTGGTCTTGACCTGTACCCTGTCTGTCCCCCTGTTTCTTCTGTGTATATTCTCAACTTTCCTTATTTATAAATTCTTTGGGGCTATTTGAAATTTAATGACATTAAAAATATCATTGATTTCCGACCACTTTATCTCTCCTGGCCAAACCCTGATCAAATTCTAACTTCTTTTTCTGTGTAATAAGTTTTTCAAGGGCCATTACAATGGAATTCCTAAATTTAAGAAAATCACAATATTTTATAATTCTTTGATTAATTCATGATAGTATCAAATAAATTGCCCCATAAATTATACTATATCATCTGAGTTTTAAGATTAACAAAATCCACACAATTAAAACGCACTTCTTTGTTTTATGGCACATGATCATTTGATACGACAATTTAAAACTTGTGGGGCGTGGACTATTGTCCACTGGAGACAGTGCCGTCCTACTGTTCTCGTGAGCTCAGTCCTTCCGTGGCCCTTACCCCTCGGGCCCCTAGATGAGGCTCCCGTCTTGGTGGCTTCTGTTCTGGGCTCTCCCCACCCTCCCTGCCCCCCTGGACTCACTCTGCCCGTCTCCGTCTCTGCGCTGGCCTCCCGCCCGTCCCCTCTGTGGGGACTCTTCAGAGGGCATCTTGGCCCCCGACTGCCTGGACGTCGTTGCTGACTGTCCCCAGGTGCTGTCACCCAGCTTCTCCCAGGTCTCATGCCCTGAGTGCCCAGTGTCCATGGCGTGCCTGACCGCCTGCTCAACCTGCCCCCATTTCCTACATCTGGGCTTTTGGCTCCATTATCCACCGAGTCTCTGGTTGGAAACGTAGAAACCGTTTTCCCCTGGTCTGTCTTCTCCATGTGAAGTCGGTTCTGCTGGCCCCACTTGTAGACACAGCCCAGCTCTGGCCACTTTCCTCCAGGCACAGTCCCACTCTCACCTCTGACCACCATCAGCTGGCCCTGGGCTCCTGGAGCAGCCCCAGCCGTCTCCTCTCTGTTCTCTGTGGGAACTCAAATTCTCCTGAAAATGCAGATGACTCCCGTCAGCGCTCCTCTTAAGTCCTCCTAATGTTCTTCTCTCCCACTGGGAACAAAGTCCCAAGTCCTTACCCTGGCCCCAGGCCCTGGTGGCCGCCTGGCTTTCCACTGGACCTCTCTGGACACCGGAGCTGTCCCCGGTCCCGCCCATCCCCAGTGACTCCTGCAGCTCAGGAGTCAGTCGCTACAGGAAGGAGCGACAGCATACTCTGTCGATAAGCCAGGTCCGAGACGTGGCCTCGGGTACTGGGTCGACCCGGGGAGGCCTCTGAGACGTGCTGAAGACTGTCCTGCCTCGGGAGTCCTGGGGATGGCTCAGGGCGTCTCCTCAGTGTGGCGGCTGTGTCGAGGGACGGCCTCTCACTGGGGACTCGGGGCTCCCCTTGTTGGCTCTCCGTCTTCCTCCTGGGATCCCTCTCCCTTCTCTCTCCAGGCTCCTTCCTGTTCAAGGGCTTTTCAATCCTCCTCCTGCCCGAGAGGCTCCTTGTCAGCCTCCCGTCCCCTCTGATCCTGACCCTACCGGGGTGGCTGGCCCTACCTGGTCCCCAGTGCCACAGTGGGCAGTCCCCAACTCTGCTTGCCATGACCTGGGCTGCATGGTTTGTGCACTTGCTATTGTGCTCCTTCCACACTAGGATGTGTTTCACAGGGCAGGAGCGATGTCACAGAGCAGGTGCACTGCTACAGGCCAGCACCCGGGAGGGCACATGGCCCTGGTCTGAGCCCAGGCCAAGTCATGTTGGAGAATGAAAGAACAAGACACACAAGCCGTGTGCGCGTTTGCATTTGAGATTGTTTCCAGCCTTGTGCACAGAAAATGAGACAACCCCCACAGAGGTGTGCAGCAGGCAGCCCTGAGCTCAAAGACCCACGTGGTGTGGCGTCCTGGGGCGCTTTCTTCCTGGGCTGCTCTCACACAGTACCAGGGAGGGGCCTCAAACAGCACAATGGGCTCTCCCCAGCTCTGGGGGCTGGGAGCTGCCATGTTGGCAGGTGTAGACGGGGTGGCCCCTGCGGGGGGTTCTGGGCCAGGCTTCTGTGCCCTTCCCAAGCTGCTGGTGCTGCCTGCGACCCTGGGCGTTCTCGGCTGGCTGCTGCGTGCTCCGGTCTCCTCTCTGACCCCCGGAGGTTCTGCCCCGCATGCCTACCGTCCCACTGAGCCAGCGTGACCTGACCTCGACCTGGCTACATCTTCAGAGACCTGTTCCCAATTGCAGCCACGTCTATAGGAAGCAAGAGCCAGGATTTCTTTGAAGGGAGCACAATCCAACCCACAGGTCTCCATTTCTTAAGGGGGAAATCTCTGGAGAGAAACTGCTGGGTCGTCTGGTGGCCCCATGTTCACCTCCTTTAGGAACCACCAAGCCGTTTCCAGCCTAGAGTGGCCGCAGTGCAGGAAGCACCCCGTTTCCCACATCCTCACCGACGCCTGGAGTCTGCTTTTCCCAGTCTCAGCCACTCTGGCAGCTGTGTGTTGGTCTCGGGCGAGTCACGCTGCGCTTCTCCCGGCTCATCTGGGCCGTGTGCGTCTGTCTCCACTCTGTGAGCTTCTGTTCACGTGCCCACTTTCTAATTGGATTGTTTCTTCTTTTACTGTTGAATTTTGAAAGTTCTTTTTATATTTTAGATACTGGTCCTTTGTCAGATGTGATTTACAAATACGTCCTCCCATCTGTCCCTGGTCTTTTCATCCCCTTAACAGGGTATTTCTCAAAGCAAAAGCTTTCAATTCTGATGAGATTCAACTCAGCAAATTTCCATTTTTGAGGACTGTATCTAAGAATGCTTTGCCCAGGCCTAGATTTGAGATTTTCTCCAATATTTTTTTTTATAAAATTCTATAGTTTTGCACAAACATCTTGATTGGCGGTCCCCTTGAGGTCATTTTGTGAAGGTGTGAGATTCAGACGGATGCGTGTCGAAGCGCACCGTCTGTTGGAAGAGCTCTTTCTCCCCTGTCGACACCAGGTGGGCACACTCATCTGGGTCTAGGCAGGTAGCCTTTTCTATCCAGCTGCTCCGTCCTTCCGGAGGGCTGGCCCAGCTGGCCACCGCCATCTTCCCTGGTTTACTGCCTGGTGCCCCTGTGAGTTCCCAGGAGACGGGAGCTTCCTGGGTATCTCCTGCTGTGGAGGTCGCGGGGTCCCCATGATAATCACAAGGTGCCTGTCTTTTCCTGCCTGAGCCTGTTCCCGATCCACCGTGTTCTCCTGAAGAGCTCTGAGCAGGACGGGGAAGAGTGCTAGGCCGGGTTGTTGCATGTGAGGTGGGCATGCGGGTCTGAGCCCTGGCAGAGGGCGCACCCTGCAGGTTGCTGGGGTCAAACTCCAGCTCTGCCACGACTACGGGGAGCAGGTTCTTAAACTCAGTGACCTGTCTTCCACTCAGTAAAGGGAGGACGTAACCAGGCCACACGGCTTCCAAGTTAATGTTGTGGGAACTGCAGAGAGTCACACTGTGCCTCTGTGGCACCTGGTAGCCGTTAGCCTTCATTGTCATGAGTGTGACTGTGACTACATGACGGGGACAGCTGCCCTCCTGGACTCACAGTGGTCATCTTGCCATTCATGGCCAGTGACGAAGCTGCCCCTGCCTCCCGAGGGTGCTGTCACATGGCCTCGGGAGGAGGACAGACTCTGCCATTGAACAAGGACCCACCCCGGGGAGCGTGAACAGGGTCCTCTTGTGGACCTGAGGTCTGCTGCGGAGCTGCTGGTGCGGAGGCTGCCGGCGGGCACTCTGGAGCTCCCACCTCCAGCATCACTTCCCTGCCCCGGAGTCAAACGCAGGCCCTCGTGCCCGCCTCTGCCACACGTGAAGTCACTCTTGTGCTTCTCCTGGCCCTTTCCAAAGTCCTGAATCCCTGGCTGTTTCCCTGCAGAGGGAGGTTGGGGCTCACTGTCCACACAGGAGGATGCCTCCCAGAGGTGGCCCTCGCTTTCCTCCCCTTGCCTCCTTCCTCACCCTCTGCTGTCTCTGGGGAACTTGGTCCAGGCACTGATCTGCAGACCATGGGAACTCAGGACTGTGCTGGGTTCCTGGGTGAGGGGCTGTGGCCATCAACTGGGCAGTTTAAGACCGCAGACACTTGTCCTCTAGAGCGGTGGAGGCCCAGCTCTGAGGCCCAGGTGTTGACAAGGCTGTTCCTTTGGAGGCTGTAAGGAGACTCTGCCCCAGAACTCCCTGCGGCTCCTGCTGTTGGTCAGCAATCTCTAGTGCTCCCTGGCTTCCGGAAACAGCTCCACAATCTCTACCTTTGCACACACGTCGTTCTCCCTGTGCGCGTACAAACTCCCCTCCCTGACCAGGACACCTGTCCTGTTGGAAGCAGGGCCTATGACCTCATCTTCATTTAACTGAGTACGTCTCTAGAGGCCTAAGTGCACATTCTGAAGATTAAATTCCGAACCACGGGGCGGGCTTTGAGGTAGATCATTCTGTCTTTATTTGGAATTTTGTGTCCAGAGATCCAGCCTCCCTCCACTGCCCTAGAGCCCTGTGAATGTGCCTTTCCCTGCACTGTCCTGTTCTGCTGAAGGCGGGGCTCGGCAGGCTGTCCGTGGCAGGACTGAGCAGCTGTGCAGCAGGGCTGGCAGCACCGAGCTGGTTTATGCAAATGGTGTTTAATTTTAGTCTTTCCAGTGACGGCCTCGGGGCTTTAATCTCAGCCACAGGCCGGCAGAGAGAGGACTCCATTGCTTGGCTCCAGCGATTGGGATAAAAGAGAGGAAGACTCTGTCCTTCCTGGCCGACCACCCAGAAAGCCTGGAGAGGCAGGAAGGACCCCAGCCTGGGGGAGCTTGCAGCCTCCCTGTGGGCAGGTGGAAGGTCTCCTCTGTAACTGCCACCCTCCTGCAGCCTTGGACACTCCTTTTACCTCTGTCATCCTGCTCCAGGGCAGTTTCCTCCTGTGTGAGAAAGCTGTGAGATCGGTGAGCTCAGTCGGCTACAACAGTAAGTCCTCGGCAATTATGGTCTCATCAAGTCTCCTGCTCAGAACACAAGGAATGTCCTTCCAATCACATGCATTACGTAGGTGGCCGGGAAGGATATGCATAAGTACATTGAGCTAGGTCAATAGGCGTGTTTAATTAGGTTTTCGTGTTGTTTCACCTGAACGAAGCAGGTCACTCGAGGGGGAGCCCTGCTGGGGGCACTGAGCCTTGGAGCAGATACTGACTTTGGAGCATCAGGGAACCTGGGCTTGTGAAGGGCTCACGCCCAGTCACT